TACAGTGTCTCCATTTTTCCACGTGGTCCCAGGGCGTGACTGCCAGCCAGCAACCAGTTAGGGCACATTTTAGCAGTTTGTTGCCAATGTCTTTAAAACATTATCTTCTGAAGTCATTACTTCATATATAAACACCAAGTCATTACTGCATGTACAGAGCTTTTCCCCTATGACACAGGCTGTATGTCCATTAAAAAAGCACCTAATGTGTGACTTTTTTTTTTTTTTTAAAGCAACAGCTCCACACATTCTTCTCCATACAATTATCAACCATTCTACAGCAAGTTTGAAAACCTCTAGCCTTTCTCTTGAACTGATACAACCAAATCAGACAGCATTCTCTCTCTGGGTACTATGTACAGCTTTAAACACTACTCTTTATAAACACATCCCTATTTCTAGTTCAAGGATCTATGCTACGAAATCCAGATGAATTGGTAGAGTTAAAGTTCTGACTGGCTAAATTCGTTATATTGTATAATTTGGCTACCGTGGACTAATCCATTAAGCATTTACTGAGTACCAAATCAGAGCTAACTTAACACTTTAGGTTAAAACATTATCAAGAAACAAGCACAGTTCCTGGCAGCATTAAAGTTCATAGGAATTTCACCTCTTTTTAAAAACTGGAGCCAAAATTGGGGCAGGGCACGCTGGCTTATCCCTAAAACCCCAACAATTTGAAAGACTGAGGCAGGAGGATCACTTGCAGCCAAGAGTTTGAGACCAGCCTGGCCCACACAGAGAGTGCTGAGACCCAGTCTCTATCAAAAAAAATTTTTTTTAATTGGTGTGTATTTTTCATTATTTCTTCAAACTGGAGTACAATTCACGTCTCTGCTTTTGAGCAGCTCTTAGAACTCAGCTACAGAAACATCCAGGCTTATTATGCCAAGAGATTTTCTGAATGGAGGGAAGCTATGAAGGGAGTGTTTAAAACACTCTTTTTCCACAGAGGAGTAATGACCCAAAAAGATCCATCTGAATTTTTTTTTTTTTTTTTTTTT